TTAAAGAAAAAAATGTAAGTAAAAAATTATTGGAGGTCTACACCATCATCCCCTAACACTACCTCCTATGTCAGTTTGTGATTAATTCATTGTTTTTATGAGTAATTACTCATCAGTTTCTTTTATAACGCAGAAGCCATCACGTTCAAGCCTTTCGTATGACGAGCTGTCATTGGACTGACAATGTTGCGCTGCAAGTCCGAAATGATGTAATGATGCAATAGTGAGCATTTTATTTGCATAACACGAATCAGTAGTAAAACCTGTATAACTTCGGCTTTCTTTTCGGATGATTTATTGAAAAGGAATAGATTTAAAAACAAGAGGGGAGTTGACTTGAAAAGTGGACATCGTTTAATGAATGATTAATTTGTAAATGTGAAACATAGCAAATAAAAGAATATATTGTTATTACTTGCTTGATCTTGATTTGACGTGTTGTCTATAAGTTGGAATCGAGTGAGAGGTGTGGTATCATCATATYAGGTGTTTACTTTTGCGGTTTTAATAAGGTAGTTGGCTGCAAAATTGCTGCAGCATTGTTTTGAATTCACACCGAACAAACTGTTGGACTTCCCCCGAAATATTTTACCCAATTAATCTGGCAAATAAAAATTCAATTTCAAAGACTTCGTCTGCTAAGGAAAGGTTATAGGGGACCCATGGAACCACCACCTGCAAACAATCCTGCGAGCCACTTTGAAACTGGCATATAAATCATAGCCAACGTTTGTAACCAATCAGCTGACGTTAGCACTTGTATATATGCAATATCGCTGATAGTTACTGTGATAATAAAACCGTGTAAATCATTACAATTCCAGCATAAAGCACTCGAATTTATGAATAACTGATTTTCTATGAATCCCAAACGGCTTGAAGACGTGGAGTAGACGGAAGTCATTCTTTTTTCTGGACCTGATTACTTGATAGTATAGTTTTACGATATCAAGTCTATCTTTCCATTGCATGTCATCTCTCAATTTGCATTTTCGCAACGAACATTTTTGCAGTGTCTTGTAGGTGACGTTTAAGTATAGTTTAAAACACGATCTCGCGTGTTTTAAACGGCTTCAAAAACTCCAACAATAAYTTSAAACTCAAATCCGTTAAAGTTCTTGGAGAAATTGCCGTACAAATATGTTCTGAGATAAATAGGGCAAACTGATCATGCGTGAATCACTTTACAAAGCACTCTTGTCATCCCACACTGAATACGCATAAAGAAAAATAGAACCGCACTTGGCTGCTCACTGCAATCGGTTGACATCCTGCATTGGTCAATGATTAGTTTTCAAACCTGAGACTACCTGTATATCTGATAAAGGTCACCCTTATTAGCATACTTTATATAAAGAATACTAATAAGGAGTGTTTTATCAGATATAAAGGTCCAYGCATGTGACCAAATAGACTCATTCTATTGGACTAATAACTCATTAATTATGTATGAGTTTTTGAAGGAGAGAGAAAGCATGGGTTCTACTTAAGTTCTGTAAGTTCGCAAGTAGCATCAAACAGTTACTAACGATGTTCGTACATCTATAACGTTTGTGCTTCTGGTCATGTAATAACACAGCCAACCCAGTAGTTATAATCATTAAATATTTCCAGTTTCGACGTCTTGAATTCACATAACTTCCGGTGAGTCCAAACGGGACATAATACACAGATAGATAGATTGATAGATAGACTAAAAGGTAAAACTAAAGTCAACCTAGCCTACGTCTAGCCCGACTAAAAATAGCACTGGCGCTGAAATCGATGAAAACAAAGGCTACAACGCGTTGAAGACTGGTCACACTCTACTATTTTGTCTTCCCTTCCTCATCAATCTATCGATTTTAGGAGCCGTCTATATAGAATAGAGCTTTTATTCCTTAGGAAATTCATTCATTTTTACCGTGGGGTCATTAACCAATCAACAGTCATGCCCACATGGCATAGGAAAAAAAGAAACAGCGAGAACTTCCTAACACTAGGAGAAGGGCAAAGTGTGTACATCAAATAATTTCACTGACATCCAAAGGCTGCAGCGTTTCAAAAACACTTGGGTACCGTTAATTATCCTGCGGAAAGAAAAACGGAAAACATAGTTGATTAAATGATTATGCCGCTGAGAATAACGCCATCTAACGATTCGTGTAGGCGCCCATGTAATTTCCTTAAAGAGTCCCTCAAAGGTTTTTCACAAATTATCAAAAGGAGAGAAGAAGCAATCGGATTACATGAATTATTTTTGACAATCCATCCTTAAACCTTTTGTATGCAAGGGCTCTTCATTTGCATTCAGATTAGCACCATCTAGAAGCCTGAAGATATTGCTGTCCTCTCGGCAATTAGTAAATTAGTCGGAATGAAAACAAATTTCAAAATCGCACAAACTGTATTTTGTTTTCTACTTTCATCATTATATAATACATCATAATTTGCTACGCTACGATCTCTCGTTAGAGATCTCGGTCTCAACACTTGCAAATAAAATCCGTATCTCCTATGCGCGTCCTTTAATATCCTCTATATAGCCACCAGGAGTTACGTTTACCATAGCAACAGCCCCATATTGTTGACAACGCTCTGGCAGTCCGAGATGTCCTTCGATGACTCCAGTTATTTCTCGTCTTAGCTGTTCGATAGGTTAAGCAGGTATAAGTACTTCAGAATGAAGCTGTAAGGTGTGGTTGGATATATTAAGAATCTCAGCTTTATTGGTAGCCAGAAAGTTTCTACCAGGTACTATGTCGAACGCTACTTTCTCTGACACTTTCATCGTGACGTCATACGATTGGCCATTATTTTGAGTCGCTGTCCACTTACAGTCTTTACAGTGCGGGTGCTTTCTTTCGTTAGCAGTTTTTTATACTCGTGAGGGAGTTGCATTAGAAATCCATGGTCCATAATAGAAATCTACGCTCTAGTGTTGACTAACAGCTGCACAGAGTACGTACCCATAGTTCCTTCCGCGAAGAGAGGTGGTGCCAGACTGAAATGTGATCAACTGCACACATTGGCTCGCCTTTGTTTTCGGTCTCCTCTTTGATTCTCATTTCTGTAATATCACATAATGGCTGAGTTTTGTTCTCCCATCCTATGCATGTAACTGCTTTCGTCTTCATTATCAGTCGAGTCAGTGATGGCAGCGTCCCGATAGGTTCACCACGGCGGTTGAGTGCTTGAGGAGGTGTGTTTGGTGTTGGTTTAAGGCTTTCGCGACATCACTTAGGCAACGGATAACATCTTTCATTAGTTTGTGGGATTGGTTCCCTCCGGGTTGTTGGTTCCCTCCCACCTCAAGAATGATATTGATGACTGAATAGAATGGCTCAAAGGGTGATTTCTTTGGAGTCCCTCCTCTGTACAGTTCTTGGATTTAGCGCTTTATCCGCTTTTCATTAGATCAAGACATCACGTGATCATGAAAATTGCAGCTGTCTGGTAAGTACAACTCCATCTACACTTAAAACTTTATTCTTGTCAAAGTTGGTACTCAAAAATTCTAAGTCCGGACTATCATCTACACAACTCCAATATTATAATTAAGCAATAATTATAGTTAATAAGTTATAATATTAAGCAACCGGAAATCAAAAACAAGAGTTTTATTGATTGGGAAAGCTGCTATTTGTGAACGGCCCATTTACGCTGAACGCCTTTGTCGACGCCTATACCCACGAAAGGATTACGGATGAATTTGATGATTCGCTGATTTGAATAACAGAAAAAATGTTTTCGTCACTATTGCACTATTCACATTCGAACTCAAGTCTTTTGTAACAATATTTTGATTTTTGTACAGCGCTATCTTTACTTTAAAATGTGTTATTTGTTTTTCCACGTTTAATTTTTTAAAACACGTGACTCCAATCAAGTTCAGTTGTGTTTTTGATTGGCCACCAGCTGCAATAACGACTACAATTTTGAAACTCTTCAACGATCTTTGATGTCATATATCACGCTAAAACGCTTTTGAAAATTGTGATGACAAGAGATTGAGATNAAACGTCAGTAAGTTATTTCACATACTTTTTTTTACGGTGTTAAATTTATATTTTTACACAACTGTTTCTTTAAAAACACCGTCGCAGCTCAGACTAGTTTACCGCTAGTTCCCTGAAAGGACCCTCATATGTCAGTTTGTGATTAATTCATTGTTTTTATGAGTAATTACTCATCAGTTTCTTTTATAACGCAGAAGCCATCACGTTCAAGCCTTTCGTATGACGATCTGTCATTGGACTGACAATGTTGCGCTGCAAGTCCGAAATGATGTAATGATGCAATAGTGAGCATTTTATGTACATAACACGAATCAGTAGTAAAACCTGTATAACTTCGGCTTTCTTTTCGGATGATTTATTGAAAGGGAATAGATCTAAAGAGAAGACGAGAGTCTTGACCTGAAAAGTGGACATCGTTTAATGAAATAAAGCATGCAATTAAAAGAATATATTGTTATTACTTGCTTGATCTTGATTTCAAAGACTTCGTCTAATAAGGAAGCGACTTCGAGTCGCTTTGAAATGGCATATAAAATCATTGCTAACGTTTGTAACCAATCAGCTGACGTTAGCACTTGTATATATGCAATATCGCTGATAGTTACTGTGTATAATAAAACCGTGTAAATCATTACAATTCCAGCATAAAGCACTCGAACTTCTGAATAACTGATTTTCTATGAATCCCAAACGGCTTGAAGACATGGAGTCGACGGAAGTCATTCTTTTTTTCAGGACCTGATTAAGTAGCAGTTTCACGATATCAATTTGTAGTCTATCTTTTCATTGCATGTAGCATGGCATCTTTCATTTTACATTTTCGCAACGAACAACTTTGCAGTGTTTTGTATGTGAAATTAAAGGAGAGAGAAATCATGGGTTCTAACTTGGTTCGGTAGTATCAAAAATCAGATGTTAAATTCAGTTGGCAGACGTTCTGCGGACGATGCTGTCGCCTGTTGATTAACCACGAACGTGGGTCATTAGTAACCTTTAGAACAACAGGTGTCTATATACTTATTGTAAAATGCCGGCTAATAAATTTGTACATAATTTTACGAGCGTCCAAAACTTCCTACAGCGTCGCAAGTATTTAAGTGACCATTGAAGATTTTTTGGCTAATTTTTAATCTCGATTATGTCAGCCTAAATATAATCATCAAATGTCAACTATGACTAAAAGCTTTTATTTTGACAAAAATTCGTTGATCGATTACATTTTGCTTTAGTACAGCAGACGCAGTTTATTCTTTACACGTACGACATCCTCGAGCCTGATTGGGATGTAGGTGCACTAGAAATTACTCAGCGGTAATAACATGATCAATGAAACCTTCATTACAATCAAGTCTCTTCATATGGACACATGTTGGAGCTAAAATAGTCACTTGTTTCATGTGTTTTCTTTGCAATTAGTGTACATTCAGTAAAACAGCTTGGTTCTTTTGTTTTCATATATAAGCCTCGAATGTGAGGTACCCGCCGATCAGAACTACAGTCATGGTCACCTTCAAAGTCATCGTGTTCATAACTTGTGCATTTGCTTTCGTTCAAGTAGAGTCTAGAAGTTGGAAAAGAGATATGATTCTTCACAGTCGGAAAGCAATTCCTCCTCCCACCCATCCTCTTCAAATCTGCCCTTTTTATCAGTGCCCGGGTAAAAACGGAAAAAGAACTCTGACACGAACAATTTCAAAGGTATTGTAACCGTTAATCGGCGAGGAAATTCATTATAGCTTTCATGGTTGACTAACTATTAGTTGATGGTTTTGTAATATTGCCATTTATAATGAATTGTATACACTTATCGATTTATCACCACTGTTCATAAGAAGAGCCAACGCGATGTCCACGAAGTCGACATTTACTCGTCGGAATTTCGTCTTTGATTTTAGCTTACCTACACATTCTCAGTGCAGTGGCTTACGTCTCTGTTATAAGGGGCGTATAAAGAAGTTTTTTGAGGTTAATACCATTTTTTAACAAAGCTTCAGTAAGTGAAGATATAATTGTCTATTATTTCTGTCCAATCAGCATCGTCTATTTTGTTCATGTAACGCACTTTTCTTTCACCTATCTTAAGTTTCGATAACGAGCAGAAACGTTTAATTACGCCATTGAATTATGAAGTACTTGTAACAGATAAACAGTTGCACTTTTGAACAATCAAAGATGACGACATTCAGTCTCACTTGCTAAACAATACTTAATATCAAAAGAAAATCACTTTATCGATCGATAATCAGTGGTGCATTAACAAAATAGCGAAGCAGAATCATGATGAACGTTAGGGAGAAAATTAAYTTGAATTTTATTGTGTACAGCCGCTGCTCTGCATTTGTTATCACTGGAAAAAATCGCGCGGCATAAAGGTTGTAAATTTGATGGAAATATGATGTAAGTGTCGAAAATGATGGAAATTTGATGGAAATGCTTTACATCAAATTTACATCATTTTGGACACTTACATCATATATACATCAAATTTACAACCTTTAAAGCGCGCGATTTTTTCCAGTGTATACGGGAGTGTGAGGGAAGGCGTACGGGAGTGTGGGGGAAGGGTACGGGAGTGTGGGGGAAGGGAATATGTATTGCGCAATAGGGTTGTTCAGCTTGCATACGGCAGGGTTCGTGCTACTCCTTGAAATGTTATTAAGTTAATCTTTTGCTGTTCTGAAACGTCAAAACTAATCACGTGATTACGGCTTTTCTGTACGCTCCGTTTAATTTTGCGTATGCATACAAATCCGAACGTTTTCTCGCGCACTATAAGTGTAGAAGGCCACTTTTTACCTTTGTTTGAATTTCTTTAAAACAAAGCCGTCTGGCGCTTGCCGTAAATCTAAATCTCTCTAATAATATTGACTTCATAATAAAAGTGAAAATGCCGGTCGCGTCAAACTCTGATTTGGTGTGTATTTTTTTCATTCAGTGACTTGTTCGAGAATTTTTTATTTATGTAAAACGAACACTTGAAATTCTATTTTAAAACCCAATTGATTCTCCGTTGTTCTTCTGTAAACTTGCTTTCTGCCACCGGTGACTTGCGAATTTTGGGAGATCAGACTCCCCACTACACTATGGCGAAGACACAGTCTCCCCGTACTAACGCTATGATGACACGTTATGTACTATAGCAACAATTGTATCTATTCTATAACTATCATTATACTATAATAGACTAGTAGATTAACTAACAAACTGAACCACAAGATAGGCTAGTAACTAGCCTGACATGATAAACCTCACAGATGTACCAGCAGCAGCTTTTATTGAAGTCACTTCCTCGAGGTTGAAAACCGAGACTTTAATTTCAAGGGAGATAATAACCGTGTGTCAAGGCAAAATATAATATTTCCTCAGCATTTTCCACCTATATTAATTTCTGTAGATGTCATCGGTTATCTGTGATCTGTTTCTAATATAATTCAGTTTTTGCTTTCGGTTCAATGTCTTTTGGCAATAAATTTCACTTACATATTTAATTAATTTATATGGCATTCATTGAGTTTTATAATAAAGGATTATCGTCAATTGTTGATTTATTATCAGCCTGGTAAACATCCCATATTATGCTAAGAACAAATAATGAAATAATTCTTTGTTAAAATATTCAAGGATATAAAATTCGATGGAAAAATTACTAAAACACTGGGCAATCAAGTCACGACCAACAAGCGCATGCAAAATCAGCTGAAATTCTTATGATGATGTACACTATATACCTCTGTGTTTCCATCGAGTTGTTATTACAAATACACAGATGTCACTGTTGTACTTCCTCAATTCTAATCGCATCTAAAATTCTAGGTTATTTTAATTGAAATTTTTAGTAATTACATAGTTGACAGTATCCGACAATTTTTCGTATTAGTATAAACAACGGGTCGGCAGATAATTTCCTCTATCATATCAGTTTACTTTTATCACTGAATTATCATATAAAACAGTGGTATTAATCCTCATTCAAAGCAAAAGGCTCAACGTTTATAACAGGTGTATATTTTTAGGCTACTATACCGATAACCGTAAAATACATACAGTTATTTGATCGACCAATTAATAACTATTTAGTTAGTATACATTGGTAAAGAGCCTGCAAAAGGGCCCAAAAGAAAACACAATATTTTCAGACACGGCTAATAGTCTCACTAATCTTATCCAAACAACTGTATAACGTTTGAAAAATCCAACGTTTTCTATGTTCAGTGATAATCACACTTCGAGTCAATGTTCAGTCCTTTAACGGTTGTGACTTCACTACTTTGGTATTATTGCAGGAGCCTGGATAATCCAACAGAATTCTTTGAGTAATTTCAATTTTTCTTCTCGGACTCAAGCGCAACGTTTGGCATCAATTGATGGCTCATCGTGGAATAAAAAACTAGATTCAGGTTTTAAATACGTATAACTCCTTCAGATCTAAGACCTCCTTGACGGTAATTTTTATTCCTCAATTCTTATTTTGCTACCAACATGTACAAGGGGTCCGAAATGGGACAACAATTTTTAAAGAGGTCTATTAGTAGGGGAATAAAAGTGTTTACCGATAATTGATTCAAATTTTTTTTAAATCTATTGTTAACAATGGTGCTGAGTTTTGTTTTGTTTTGTTTTGTTTTTTTTTTATTCGAGAAAAGATTATATCTTAAATAGTTACGCAAACCTTTAATGAAGTCATTTGTGTACCGTCATTAGGATGCCAGCCTCGGATTTTACCCAGAAATAAGACAAAAATTGTTAAATTTCTTTTCATGGGCGAAAATAGCGCATAGAAAGTAAAAATAACCAATTACAACATGGATTGTGATCTTGTAATAGACTGTTGTATCGTAGGTGTGTCACTGATGTGTTTTGTTTCTTCAATAACGATGCCTTGACGTCATTTAATACTCCTAGTTCAAGTATTGTCCCATTCACGTCAGTGTTGAATAAATTCTCACGATAAATGATTGATTGAATTTAAGTTACAATAACGCCACACACAGCTGGAAGGCCGTTATCGAAAGCCCCGTCAATTCTTGATCAAATTGACTTTTTTTCATGGACCGGGGGAGTTAAGGCGGATGTAATAAACAACATATAAAGACTTGTTGTAGAGGGTACATAGTCTTTCTTCATTCGATCGTCCCGTGAGCACCATGCATCAAATATCAAAGCGGCTAATAGTATTTTTTGTTATATTACTGAGTGTATTTCTTATCGTGGCACAAGATGACTTGAATGATCCTTTGACAACACTAGAAGTCAGACGACAAGCGCATTTTCGACCTCCCTGTTTCGGTTCAAGTTGTATTCGAAGAAGAAGAAGAACTAACAGAAAGGTACTTAAACGAGTTTTAAAAATGAATCAATTGTTTCTATAGGTAGACAGAAAGAATGATTTTTTTTAATTTTTCTAATCTCTAAAAGTCAAAAAGCTACGCCCAGTATAGTTAATTAATTTCCAGACGATTTTTAGTAATTTTAAGGTGATATAGTGATTTGGTCTTTAAAGCCGTAACAAAGTGCAGTGCATTTTTCACTAAGGAACGTCGAGTTTAGAATAGCAATTAATCTCAAGATTATTATTAGTGTTAACCGCCTGTTGACTTTACTATATTAAACACCCAATTGGGTGGCCTCACATCGTAATGTTTCATATATACAAGTATAATCCAGTGACTGCAATCCATTAGTTGCTTTATACAACACGAGGAAGTTATGTACACGATAACGGTCAAAATCATGTCCTGTTTGAGGCCTCCGGTTATTTTAATCAAGAGAGGATGGCTGGTTTAGTCTCTATCTTTTCGTCTTTCAATTATCTCTATGTTTAAGTCAAGCAATTAAGATTATATCATATTGCTGAATATTTATGTTCGAAAATTGCACTGGGATCTATTCGTTTATTGACCGGATCAGGATGGATATATAGAAAATGGAACCAGTGAAGAGTCGACCGAAATAACTTAATTTACTTACGAATAATCAATGTGTTTGGGCTTGATGAGTTTATTTGCCGCTCGATTTGCCAGGCTCCAAGAGAAATTAATTTCACAAGTAAAGCTTCAATTAAAAGTTAATAAAAATTTATGATTAGTGTTACGCCAACAATTTTTATTGGTCGCCGCGTACGCGCAAAGTCGTCCCAAATCATAATTCACAAGTAAGACACAAGTGGGATGACTAATAGTGTTCCAAGTAATGAATAAAGCAGAAATTGTCAAGACCAACAATTTGTCACATCTGTCAGAAAACCACCATTGTCCTACTAAACTTACAATTGACTGACTCAGGAAATAGCAAGTTAAAAATGGCCGTTTATTCTGAATAGTGCGATTGTCAACTGGTGATGAAGTGGTTTAAAKACATCAAAACATACTACTTGCCTTGGTCAAGAAAATATTTATGACAGAAAAAGCACAACAGTATACCGAGAAGCAGAGTTCTCGTTGATCGAAATCTCACTGACGCTTTTTTTCAGAGACCAATGAAACGTTATGTTAAAAGAGGATATCAGAGTCTTTAATAAATGTTCTTGATAAGGACCCAAATACTATCCCAACTCCCTATAAAGAGAAACAGAGAACAAACAATAATATTTATTCATTTAGTGGGTTGAAACTGAGAGATCCTATCTAAAAAAGAAAAATAGAACTTTTCTAACAGCGTTGTGCATTGTGTCAGGCAAACAACAGCTGCAGGGCCACCAAACATTAAGCCAAAGGAAAGCGCAATTTGTCGAAATTTGTAGTGAAAGTGTAATAATTAAAGTGACAGAAATGTATTCCTCTTCCGCGCATTAACAGCGTTGACGGACTATTTCACTCAAGGCTTGGACGCGGAAACGTAACACAAAGAACGTCCATTTTCGGCAAAGTACACTAGGCTATTGTTGTGGATATTAAACAAAAACTTATTTTGTACAATAATTAAAGTGCACTCCCCCGATAACTGTACTAGAGAACACTTATGACTAAGGAAATGAAGATTAAGCTAAAATTCTCGCTCAATTTTTATATGAAGTAAATTATACAGATTTTATCAGCTATGAAAACTAAAGAAATTATTAAATATTTTTATCATTTCCAAGATCTAAACGATGCTCTTATGATTATTTGTAGATGTTGAAATCAAGAAACCCTTTAGTTGAACTCGGACATTCTTGAAAAAGCAAGAATCTTAATAGCAATAGTATATGTTGTGAGAATAAGACCGTGTCATCAAAAAACGTAAATTCGGAATTATGTCATACTTAAAATATTTTTGCTTTCTTTCAGAGAGTTTTCAAGGAACCATCAATCGAGAATGATCCAATTGATACGAGCGACTTCCAACTCTAAAACAGAAACTACCTTTGACAATCCAGAAGGTGTATTGGACTTCCAATATAAATATATTTTTGCTGTAATTAATGCGATTCAATGGAACCCTTTCAAGCTCTATCAACAATTTCAAAAATAATGTATTCTGTGTAATGTGAAATGAATAAATTTAAATTCAAGAGTTTCATACAGTTCTATTCATTGATGGTAGGCGTTCCTACTCACGATTTAACATTCTAGAATGGGACGTCCATTTTTAAAATTATGTTTTTTTTTGCACTGTTCTGACTGGTACTTATTCGTAGGAAGAACAAAGGGTACTTCAAATAGAATATTAAGATATTTTGATCAAAGAAGAAAGAAAACAAAGGAAAACAACAACAACATAAAACTAGCGCGATAAAAGGGAATGATTGCAGGGTCCAGAATTGAAACTTCGTGTTGAAATGTATACACACCTTATTGCAAAAATGTTGTCATAAACAATTTTATCATATAATTATCTATGAAATACCTATATTTCTCCATTTCGTAAAATTGATTTCACTAGTAAAAATAACACATTCGAGGTTTCTCTATATAGTAAAWGTTGGAAAAATATATTTTACGACATAGTTTGCTTTCATATGTAATTATATGATAAACAGAATATTACATGGTCGCTTGGAGATACGAATTTTATCTTCTCGTGTTGAAAATCTTTGAGATCTTTTCAACACTCGAAGATGAAATCCGTATCTCCGCGCGCCCATGTAATATCCTCTATTAATTTCGTCATGTAATAAAATTAATCTATAAAAAGCGTACAGACTGAGTGATCATCCTTTTTTGTGTGTGTATAAAATGAATGACTTCTATAATATGCCCCCCCCCCCCCTAATACTTTCAATATTAAATCTATAATAAACGAACTTTAACATCCTGACCTGCATCTTTAATGATGACTACCAAAATTGTATATGGAGAAATATTAATTGCTATCAAGATACCGATATACAGCTTCAATTTAATAATAAACTTAAGTACGGGGTACGAGATATTTTGACTGTCTTGACTCAGCGTCTTTACGGCTAATGATCCGCTGGATGGCAAAAGTGCGGGCTCAGAGTACGAGATTGCTTGGAGACTGTGGAAGAATCCAAGAATGCAGAGTATAACCCAGTCCTCTCACTGATGTAACGCTGTCCAAAGTGGTGGAGATGTAAATAGTGTTTTTAGTGCTTTCTGGATTTAAATCGCTGGAATAACCGTTATATTTGGGAAACTAATTGAAAAGCCAAAGTAGCCTTGAAAGTTATTGTCAGCTTATTAGATTACTGCGCCATAGGTTGGTGGTTTCTGATCGTCCATCATGTCACCCCATAATTGTAGCTCGGGCCATGCTAGCAAGTTGTGATGATTCCACCATGCAGCATTACAGCAATGAATTATGATAAAAAATGAGGTTTCGAAAGTCTGTTGCATTCAGCAGTGTTATGGACACGCAAAAATCTGTAATTCTTGATGATGAAGGGGAAAAGATGGTAAGTGAGACATCAAGTCATGACGCTGAGAAATGTTACATATTAACGTTACGTTATGCACCAGTCATTTGATATCCCCCGCACCCCCCCTGAGGAATACTCAGGGCATTCACTCTTTTCCTAAGTGTAATGCAGTGATAGCCCTGCACTGCGGGGCAAAAAATAAAARKGAACTCCCCCGCTACCTTTCAAGCAGTTTCAATCAATCAATCAATCAATCAATCTAAACTAAATTTCTCTTCTTCTTCTTCTTACAGTCTATTTAAACAAATGAACAGTCCCCCAAAATGCTGGCGCTTGCGAAAGTGCAATCCCCGCTCTAGTCCCCGAGGTGTGGAGCCAAAGCTGTGAGCGCTTCCCCCGACCATCGGGGAACATAATATAGGTGAACATAGAGTGAATACCCCGCTATGTCCCCGGGTATTCCTCAGGGGGGTGCGGGGGATATCAAATGACTGGTGCATTATGCATTCATAAACTGAGGTCCTTGAACTGTTCGAAGAAATAGATTATTTTATGTTTCAATGACTTTGAAGATCACAAAAAGTACTCAAATATTTCTAGTATATACATGTATAAGTAATTTTTCATGTTCCATGGTTCATGATTTCTTTCATGCAAATCAATCAAGTTCCATTACATTTGTATTGTTAATTTGGTGTTAACTGTTTTGAGGGGTGTGGGTTAGGGTTAGGGTTAGGTTAGGTTAGGTCAACTACCCACAAGTCACATACAACTACATACAACTACATACAGGTTACATACGAGTGACATACATGTACGACTATACACACGAGTACAAAAAATAAAAAAAAAACCTTAATACAAAAATAACCATCATGAAGGTACCCTGACAGCGTACCACAAAAAACTATATGTCTGGTGGTCAAAATAATTCACCAAAATCACAGTAGAATGTAAATCCAGTCTAATCAAAGATACTTTACTGTATTTAGGTGTAGATAGTCTTCCTTTTGACCACATTCAGTTGACAATTCAAAGCTTTTTCGTCGCTCTGCATAGCATACAATCGACGTGACACTTAAGTTTTTCACGTCTCTGGACGAACTCCTGAACAGAATGTCAAAGGCAAAAACTATATGTCCAGGAGTCAAAATAATTTACCAAAAACGGCATAGCCTCGAGCCAAATATTTTGCCGTATGGCCCTCCAACTTTCTCAATAAGGACATAGTATTTAGGTGCAGATAATCTTCCTTTTGACCAAATTTAGTTGAGCTTTCTTTGTTCGTTGAACAGAAAACAATAAAACTAAAAAGAGAGTAAAGTATCTATAATTCGACATTAATGACATTTTCCGATTTTTTTTCCGACTGGATTTACATTCTCCCGTGATTTCGCTGAAATCATTTTAACTCCTGGACAAATAGTTTTTCATGACATTCTGTCTGGGAGTTCGTCCACAGAGACGGGAAAACCTATAAGTGTCACATTTTCCGTATGGGAAAATATTTGGCTCGAGGCTATGCCGTTTTTGTTAAATTATTTTGACTCCCGGACATATAGTTTTTGCCTGTGACATTATGTTCAGGAGTTCGTCTAGAGGCGTGAAAAACTTAAGTGTCACGTCRATTGTATGCTATGCCGAGTGGCGAAAAAGCTTTGAATTGTCAACTGAATGTGGTCAAAAGGAAGTCTACACCTAAATACAATAGAGTATCTTTGATTAGACTGGATTTACATTCTACTGTGATTTTGGTGAATTATTTTGACCACCAGACATATAGTTTTTTGTGGTACGCTGTCAGGGTCCCGGACTGGGACCGATATAGACGAATTATTTTCATGATGGTTATTTTTGTATTAAGGTTTTTTTTMTTTTTTGGACTCATATAACAGTAGTCGTATGTAGTTGTATGTTACTCGTATGTAACCCGTATGTAGTCGTATGTAGTTGTATGTAGTCGTATGTTACTYGTATGTAGTCGTATGTGACTTTTGGGTAGTTTTAGCAACGATCGTGTGTGAAGTGTGGTTATCCACAAGTCAATTACTGTTCTGGTTCAGTGATAGTGTCTACATAGTGTTTTTTTGTTACCAATTTCATGGTTCAAGTGACTCTGCTCTAATATATTTAGCTATTGTGTTTTGCATTATTGTTCATCTAGGTATGTTATGGATACTGTACAAGTGTTATTAAGGTGCGTTGTATAGTATGCAAAGGGTATTGTATAGCCTATTGGTCTTAGACTGGTCCAATAATGTAAATTTCAGACATTGCTGTTTGGTATCCTCGTGTTATGTTCTGGAGGGTTTCTGCTGTTAGTTTGTTACTGGAGGCCTGACTGGAGTTTAATTCTTAGATGTAGGAAATGTTTCCTAAGGGAGGCAGAMTACGTATTAATTAAGGTACAGAAATTTTATTGGTATTGCTATCRATCTATTCTTAAAATCAGTGGGTTAGCKAGGGAACAATAATAGAGATTGGACATTCAAATGTTTAGTCTTTTGATTTTGCATGTAAGTTCTTGGTGAGACAAAGACTTAGAATAAAAAATGTGAGGGAGGAGGTGGCCAGGTCAGATTCTCCCAGTGATCCCAAGTGACTTGATTCCCTTTTCATTGGTAGTCAATATGTGACCACCAAGAAAGCTAATAACAATCAAGTTCAAAATTAGATAGCTACTTTTTAATTTGTAGACATCACATCATACTTGGGCTGTCGAAAAAGTACAAACACAAATTATAAAAGGTGGAATTTGCACGTAAGTCCAAACTATCAAATTTAACTCAAGCCGTACATTTGTTTGAATAACCTCAAATTTCTAGAAATATAAGTATTATTGTTTAGTGAAGTCACTTTGTATTGAGTAATATTTGCCAGTATATGTTATGATATTATATATGTTATGATATGATATATTTCTTTGCCAGTTTTTTTTTTCTTTGCCATTTATTTGCCAGTATATGTTATGATATTAATATATATGTTATGATATGATATATTTCTTTCAGAAATCTTAAACTTTCGTATGAAACAGAGAATGGCAGTAAATGTGATGTTGAAGCTGACTCTTTTACCACAGAAAAAAAGGTCAATATAACAGTTGCTTGAGACATACAACACCTGATTATTAAGTGTTTCCTTTAACCAGCTGCATTTAATCATCACAGATTTGTGTCTTCAGTTGTAATCTTGAATTCATTTTCAATGTAACAAATTTGAGATAAAAGTAATATCACAATCTATGAAGCAACACAAATGATTGACATACGAACAATATTATTTTTGTCAGTGAAGAGTCTTATGCCCAAGGTTGTCATAAGACTGACTTGCATACATACACATCATATCTATTTACAGAGGCTACTTAAAAATGTTTCATCTCCTCCCTACAAAGTGGTGAGTTTTCCTTTCCTCATAAGTGAAGTAGATACTACGAGGTGGTGACAAAATGTTATTTGTTAAGTGCAAAATCTAATCACATTGATGTCGCTAAACAGTAATGATTAATCTTAATAATAATTACCTAATAAACCTAGTTCTTGTTGCTGTCTTAACTGTTGCACGCTATTTATGCCACATGACACAATTAAACAAGTTAATACATTTGAATATATAGTACAATATTATATAGCTTGGATGTAACACACGATTTCATTGGCTAAAAAACGGGCCATACTTTCCTGTACGGACCAGATGAAATGAGAAAAAAACGTTTTTTATCTTAAAAAGGCTCGCTTTCTCTCTTTTTGTAGCTGTACTGTATAAAAAAAGAGTCAAGAAAAATGAATCCAAATTTTGCCATCAAGGTTTCTCAGGCTTTTCTTTTTTCCTATTTTGAATGACAAGAAAAGTACGAACAAAAACGTATTTTTATGTCTGATTCTCTATTAATTTTACTATTTTTCCCTGAAAATGCTATATAATAAATATCTTATTAATCTCGCTTGCTCGAGACGTACTGGAAATTATGGAACCTCGTTTTTTAACTTCCCGTATGGCCCTCGCGCTCGGTTAATAAGATATTAGTAGCACACTTTTTAGTTTTATTCTGATGATGACTTTGTAGTCGAAAACGCTCATTTTTTTCTATTTATTATAAATAATTTATATATCATTTAACTGTTGCAAGTGGTAARAAAACAGCAAATAGAGTTAAGTATGGCCATTTAAGTTCTGCATATTAAAGTTATACTAGTTAGTGTGTAAAGTGATTTGTTGTTGCTGTTGCAGTTGCGTTATTTCATGCATAGGCATTTAAAGTATTTATGGAACAAAGAAGTTGGCTCATTTAAACTATTAAGGTAAATAACTTTCTTCATTAATCATTTCTTTCCTGTTTCTCTCTAATTTTATACCTTCTGTTGCTAATTGTTATATTTCTTTATTCCAACTTTTGTCATTTTTGGATCTGTACAAATGATGGATGTCCTCTTTAGATTATTAGATCATGGACTTACTGTTAAAGGCATTTATGACCATGCATCAGGGCTGGCAACGGAAGAAGCAGAGACAAGGTACTATTGGACTCATCATTGAAAGACTGATCAGGTTGACTTAAGTTGAAGTATTTTAACAGGAAACTCATTTATGGAACAAATATCATTGATGTTGAAGTCAAGTCCTATGCAAGATTGTTTTTTGAGGAGGTACGGTACTCATGAGCAATGCACACTCTCTATTCATTTTGACAATTTGATTTCATACTTAAATCTCTGAAGGTTCTAATTTCATTGTAAAGAGTAACATTATTATTATTTTTTGAATGATATGTTTTACAGGCTCTTGATCCCTTCTATGTCTTTCAAGTATTCAGTGTGTCACTATGGATGTCTGATGAGTACTATTACTATGCTTCTGCCATTTTTATCATTTCATTTGGATCTATCTTACTAAGTATCAGACAGACAAAGAAGGTAGTTATTTTTCCATCAGTCACCACCAGACTAGTCCTATAGTGTTCAAACTTGTACATCACTYACATATGATAACTGTATAATTATTTTATGCAGCATTTGACAAATCTGCGTAACATGGTTGCAATGTCTACTATTGTAACAGTTCTTCGCAACAATGGAGGTACAGTATGTATATAGAAGATAACATTAAATGTCATGTCTTTTCATTATACAGATTCATTGAACACCATTTGAGTAACTATTCTAATATTTTAGTTGCTGAGGATATTCTCTCAGAGGACMTGGTACCTGGTGATGTCATTGTTATACCTTCCCAGGGTGCTTTGATGCAGTGTGATGCTGCTCTTATCAGTGGTAACTGTATTGTTAATGAAAGCATGCTAACAGGTTAGTATGACACTATATAGAAATGAAAGAAAGTTATAGTGCTTAGAAGGAGGCAATTCCGGGAGAAGTCCCTTAGGAATAAATTCGGAAAAATTAATTTCCGACACTATTTTGGGAAGTTTCTTGTGAACAATGAAGAATGGCTATTAAATGATAAATTGATTGATCATATTATATATTAATAATATTATTCTTATTAGTTAATAATTATGTCTTGTTTAGTTAAATGATTAATAATTGACTCATAATGTGGTCAACAGGTGAAAGTGTCCCTGTCACCAAGACACCTTTACCAGGAAGAGGTGTGTCAAAAACCGTAGTACAAAATGAAGAAAAAGAACCATGTTATGACACAATAAAGGACAAACGCCACACACTTTTCAATGGAACAAAAGTCATTCAGACTCGTTATTATGGCAAGGCAAGAGTATTGGCTGTAGTTGTGTGTACAGGTTTGTTAGAACAAAACTCATTAATTGTTGATGCAAGTCTGGAAATCACATATGTTGTATTATTGTATCATTGAGTAACTTACAACTCTGTCTTGATTTTAGGTTTTTATACAACAAAAGGTAGTCTTATTAGGTCTATTCTCAATCCACGGCCAGTTGGATTTAAGTTTTTTAGAGACTCCATGAGATTCATTGGTGTCATGTGTGTTTTAGGTAAGGATAGGATATTATAAGTGAGGGTTAGATTGTAGTTGGTAGAGTCTTCTCATACCTAGCGAAGGTGACTGTAACAGTACATGCACTATACTAAAATATTGAATTCCCTGGATTGCTAAATCCAAACCTACATTATTTCCTTAGCTTTATTTGGTTTTGCATACAGTGTGTACATATTGGTGGATCACGGAGTAAGTACAACATTAATTGAATTTGTTTTTTATAAAAATGAGTTATCGACCCTTTTTGTCTTATGCTTGCTGGACCAAAAGCTCATTTCTATTTATAATTTTCAATGAGAGACAGCCTTATTGTTTTTAAAACGTCATGTGTACTGTGGATTCACAATACAGTTATTATTATCACTCACTGTGTCTCATATTATTGGTTTTGGTTTCCAAACAAAGCTGGCTTCCTTTGTTTAATTATATCTATGGTTGAATGTTAGTGTAGTTTCTTCTTTAGTTAGGTGCAAGTGAAATAGCTTTGAAAGCCTTAGATGTCATCACTATAGCTGTTCCACCAGCGTTACCTGCAGCTATGTCTGTAGGTATGGTGTATGCTTTGCAAAGACTCAAAAAGGAGGCGATATATTGTATTGCTCCTTCAAGGTATATGCAAGTAATATTAATTATTAATTGTTATTTCACCTTTTCTTCATGTGCCTTTTTTTCTCTTTTTTAGAATCAATATGTGTGGAAAGCTAAAGCTGTTTTGCTTTGATAAGGTAAGCAATATWTGAAAAATCGAGGGTGGATTTTATTGAATAATTCTATCAAATTAGGTATTTTACTTACTATGTGCACTATATCCAGACTGGAACACTTACTGAAGATGGCTTAGATGTTCTTGGTGTTGTCCCTATTGAAAAGGGAAGGTATGTGCTAGTCAAGTGCTCTTGTGTATGGATTTTATATTTTTTACAATCTGTTCTCATTGGATATTTTGATGTAATTGAGTCTTCATTTCAGTTTTCTGTGCATGAATACTGATGTCAGTAGCCTTCCTAAAGATCCATTATTGGTTGCCTTGGCGACCTGTCATTCATTGACAGTAATTGACAGCGAATTGATGGGAGATCCTTTGGATCTTAAAATGTTTGAAGCAACAGACTGGGTAAGACTGGCAATAATAAGATTCCTTTATCAACAAATKCCCTTGTACTGTGTGTTCTTTTGAATATATCGCATTGTTCTATAATATGATAATCAGGTGCTTGAGGAACCAGGAGAAGATACAGAGAAGTTTGATAATATTGTGCCAATAACTGTTAAACCAAAGAACAGCGAGGAATTCAGCTTGGAGTCTGCCATTGAGGGAAAGGTAAAGGAAAGAAAATCTCTTTTTGACCATGTACTTTGAGTACTTACAAAAAAGCAAGGAAGAAAATGAATACTTAAAATGCTATTCCAGATTTCAAAATAGTTTTGTATTGATTTTGCAGACTCCATTTGAAGTAGCTATGCTTCGGCAATTTCCCTTCTCATCTGATATTCAACGAATGGGTGTCATCACCAGGACTCTTGGAGAAAACCATATGAATGTATTTGTAAAAGGTGCTCCAGAGACAATAGCACAACTGTGTCTACCAGATACTGGTACTGCCATCATGTATTCATTGTTGTCAGTCATCAAACATTATCAATAGACCGGAAGTGAATAGAAAACAATAGAAAACAAAGCAATGGAAACGAGGCCTAAGGGCCGTTGAGGTGTTTGGATGGCAAATATCAACGTATTCCATTTACCTGAATTTAAGAAAAATTGCTTGTCAGTAGGAAAAAGACATTTTCTTGCTTCTTGTTAAATTCAATAACAATATTTTTTTAATCCCTAACTTACTTCCGGTTTATGTTGTAAGCAAGTATATATCCACATGCTTTCCATTTGATCATAATGTATAGGTGGTATTATCCCTGATTATTAGAATCACCATCACACAGAATGCATTGTTTGTTATGTTTAGTACCCAAAGACTTCCAAGAAGAACTAGAGGCCTACACGGAGCAGGGTTATAGAGTGATTGGTTTAGCATACAAACCTTTGGATAAAAAGTTTACATGGCATCAGGCACAGCGTGTAGAAAGGTGTTCATTCAGTTCTATCATCCATCACCTTATTTTAGAGCACACCTTATGTATGATTTTCTCACAATCATTTTCATTATAACCTTAAGCATGATTGTGGTGTAATTATAGAAATCATATCGAAAAGGACTTGGTATACATTGGATTACTGGTGTTACAGAACGCCCTCAAACCAGAGACTACACCTGTTATAGCTGTTTTACAAGAAGCAAACATCCGAACTGTAATGGTGACAGGTAATGTTCAAAACTAATAACAAGACAATAAGTTAATTATAGGAGATAACTGGCATTGATCCRTGCCATAATGAAACAGTTGTGATAGTCATGATGACTGATATTYTCTAATGAAACCCTACTGACCTTTAGAGCATTAGAGCAGTTAGTTGTACATGAATATTTAATGGACATTAATTCATGATTGTGGAACACGAATACACTGAATGGGAAAGGCAAATTCACATGACCGCCAAGGTTTTTGTTTGTGAAAACCTCAAACAACCATACAAGCACTAGTAATGCATGTTGTATGCTTTCAGGTGATAACATGTTGACAGCAGTCAGTGTTGCACGAGAATGTGGCATAGTGGGATATCACCAAAAGGTGTTTATATTATCTTTCTCCTTTATTCATTCATTCTGCACTTGTTTGTTCATTTTCCGCTCACTTTTTTCATTATCTTATTTCCAATCCCCTATAAAAGCATAGTAATTGGGGCAGGCTGTAGGCATCTCATGGACCATGCGATACCGGATAACTCTGAATAAAACACTGTGTTAGAGTTACCACTCTAAAGCCTGTGTCTGTGGTGTCATTTAGGTTCTTCAGGTGTCAACGAAGCAAAAAGAAGACGAAGCTGTCAACATGGACTTAGTATGGAATGTAGTTGGTGAGATACGTAAGGGCATTTCATTAACGGTAAGCGCTATTTTGACGGTTAATTTTTATCCAGAAGTGAAATTAATGCCTTTATTTTTGTTTCAGGAACATTCATTAGATCTTGAGAAACGACATCGTAACAGTTTCCACATTGCTACGTCGGGAAAGACCTATTCATACATCAGAGAGTACAAACCTGACTTGTTAAAAAAAGTAAATCAGTTTATTCATTACCAAATAACGTGGAGCCAAAATTACTGTACAGTTGTACCTTTCTTGTCAGATTTTACTTTATGGTGCAGTCTTTGCAAGAATGTCACCTGAACAAAAAACTCATCTTGTACAAGACCTTCAGTCTTTGGAGTAAGTAAGATTCAATTATGAACTTATAGTTCAAGCACATTACCTCTGACAAAAGAGCCACGTAATGAGTGGCTTCTCATGTTATCTTGGTTATCCGCAGCTACTGCGTTGGTATGTGTGGAGATGGTGCCAATGATTGTGGGGTAAGTATTTTGATAGACAGGATAATACTCATAACTCATCTTGAATATCTTGCACTATGTTGATATTCAGGCACTCAAGACAGCTCATGCCGGTATATCCCTTTCTGAAGCGGAGGCATCCATCGCTTCACCGTTTACTTCAAAGGTTAAATTGTAGTTTATTTTCCTTCTACTGTTCTAGTATTAGCTGGAACTGAATAGTCAATGTCTCCTTTTTTAGATTCCAAACATTGAATGTGTCCCAAAAGTGATTAGGTATGCACATTTCCGTCTATTTGTGTGGTTGACTTGAACATATTTCAATAGTTAATATTATAGCAAGAATACTTGTTGATCTCGCTCATTCTTCTTTTTTACGACTGATTAGGGAAGGCCGCTGTGCGTTAATAACTTCGTTTGCCTGTTTTAAGTATATGGCCTTATACAGCATCGTACAATTTGTAACCGTTCTTATGCTTTACTCGGTAAGTTTGTGATATAAACCTTGTAATTGTCAAGTGATATAATTAAAAAAAGATTCAAACATGATTGCTCATTCTATTCTATTCTCATAGATCGCGTCTAACCTTGGAGACTGGCAGTTCACATACATCGACCTTATCATCATTACAAGCCTCGCTCTCGTTAGTACGTATATATTATAATGACATCCTCGGCAATCCTGAGATTGATATAATCTTTGTTTAATTTACAGTGGGGTACCAGCATCCTTACCCAAAGCTGGTAAAACGTCGTCCAGGAGGTAGCCTTGTGGCTCCCATCATTCTCTTCTCGCTGTTTTCACAAATCATTGTTCAAACACTTGTTCAAGTGGCCGGATTTTATTATGTACAAACACAGACTTGGTAGGTTTCACAACTTACGTTGCTGTATCGTGCTATACAGAGTGGCTAGATATGGAGAAATTACAGAATTATATTAAGGATTACCGTATGTTTGCAAAACAGGATTTATCATGGGTCGATCGTTAACATTTATGTCTTTTCTATTCAAACCAGGTTCACCCCAGTAAATGTAACGCAAGCTCTTGCATCTAAAGATGAAGTGACAATCGCTTGTCATCAGAACACAGTGTTATTCACCCTATCTTCTTATCAGTATATCTTACTTGCTGTAGCCTTCTCTCGGGGAAAACCGTACCGCCTTCCAATATATCGCAATTGTAAGCATTTCAAATATATCTAACTAGTGATTGTTTTAGTGCATTCAACAATGTCCTTTCCTTTTTTTCAGTTTGGTTTCTCMTTGTCCTTCTAGTATTAACTGCCTTTACAACTTTCCTCTCACTGTACGACGGGGATCAACCGCTAAAGTTTTTCGAGGTACCAACTAGAGTTGAATGAAGTGAGTTATCTTATTGTTACTTACCTGTGATCGTTTGTTGTAGATTATGCCTCTTCCTGATTTCAACTTCCGTCTTACATTACTTGGATTTGTTGCATTAAATTTTATAATATCAATGTTTATAGAGGTATGTATCATCACCTTATGAGTAAACAAATAACATTAGTTGCTTTGTACTTGACAAACTAGTAATTTATTGACCTTGTTTGCAGGACTGTCTGGTTCCATCTCAATGCCTCAGCAACTTTCTAAATACCCTGCGACGGAAAAAACAGCCCAAAAATCGTTACAAAAGACTTGAGGATGAAATTTGTTCAGATGGAGAATGGCCTCCTTCATTCTAGAAAACCAATATACAGTGTATTATTACTATTATTTTTATAAAAAAGGTAGCATATCCATTTAACCCATGCATTGCATGTAAATCAGAGAATCATAACAATAATAATGTGCTAAGAGCGCATTTAAATGATCTCAATATATTCATCAATAGACTTTTTTCAGCAAACGCCGTTAATGATTTYGGGTTCACAAATTCCTAAGTATATTTCCAGATGTTATATAAAATGACTTTATTTGTATATCGACCGTGTTTATGTCTTGGAAATTTGAGATAAGCACTCCAACGAATAACAAACCGATTCAAAGAGATAGTCATAAAAAAGAACAAAGCATATTTGCTTGAACCATGTGAAGACGTTGTGCAGCTCAATATTGATATTTTTTTCAGCAAACATGTCTAAAATTTTAGAACATTTTATGAAAATAATTATTCATTTAATATATACTTTATTTTCTATTACAAACTTAAAGTAAATTAACCATTCCTTGGTAAGGTTTATGCGGTATAAATAACTCATTTATATTTCATCATTTTGAGTATAGTATTGCTATCTAATATACTCAATATTGCATTGTCTGTACAAAGCTGAGCTTGAGATGACCCGACGGAAATAAAAACAAACTAATTGGGGAACTGTAACATCCACCCAACCCTCCCCTTCAACAAAATTTTAAAGAAATGCCTTGGTAAACTGATAAACTCCTTAAGAAAACGTTTTCCTATTGTCATTCATGAATGGCTTCTGAAATTGTGACTATTAAATTAATTCTGAAACAAAATTTAAATTTTTTTATGTTATTTGTTCTTCTTTGTTAATCTTAACATCAGTTCCAAATTGTTTATACCATATTAGGACCATCTTTAATGAAAGCGCTATTCCTTGTTGCCTGTGCAGTCCTCTGATCGACATGGATCAGCCATTTCACCCAGAACTGTGCTTTTTAGTGTGTTTGCTTTTCTTGTGAGGTCGACTAGAGACTTCACGGTTTTATTGTTCTCTTCATAAGCTGCCGGAGACAAACTGTTGTCTTTATCATCACTTTTTTTAGCTAACACACTTGCCACGCGCTGACCTGGTGGATTGACTTGGTGACTATTGCATGTCACTAACACTTCACTTCTTTAAGTCTGTCCTGTTGGATTGACTATTGCATGTCACTAACACTTCACTTCACTAAGTCTGTCACTGGTGGAGAAACTGGACCTTTTGTTTCTGTTTGCGATACAGGGAGTTCGACATGATTTGATATAGATGCAATACCAGAGTCCTCATGACTGCTGCTGCTATTGTCGTCGTCCAAAGTGCACACTGGACCGGACGATATGCCGTCAAGAATTAGCCTGATTTTATCTTGATTACAGTAGTCTGTGTGATTGTTTACCTTGAATAACATAAGAAGATGTTATACGTTTGCATGAAATTTGTTCTTTCAAGCTAGAGACACCTCAATTTCTTTATCACGTCATACCTGTAATGTCTGATTTGCTGTCTGACCATAGACATGATTAAAACACTGACACTAAATACACCAAACATTCTTGTATTGCACAATACAACAGCACYGTCAATAATACTTACTATGTGACCTACATTGAAGTTAAACATCCGCCTATTTTTCCATAATACAGGTTTAAGACCAGCTACTCTCCCTTGTGCTGAGGCAGTGCGGTAAACAAACCTAAGCAACCAGTCTTTACTAAAGAATAAAAATTTTTTAGAGCGGTTATTATATCAATAGGCCTTCCATGTGGACGAATATTGAAATACTGAACGAAATATACCGAAAGTAGCAATTGACGATTCTCCCAGCGACAACCTTTTCCAGTCCTCTCCACTCAGAGGGATCTCCCGTTACAGGGGCACCAATCATGATAACATCCTGGACGATCCCTGTGGCAACGCCTATGGTGGAAGCAAACATGCTTTAATGGGATAGACTGTGACATCTTTTCTATTTATAATTTTACAGTTAGCGTTCTAGCGTCACGAAACGTTTCCTGAAGAGGTTCTGAGTTATGTCAATGTAATAAGCACAAATGAATAGAAGATTACATAGATCCAGAGACTACTTACCATCTTTAAAGTTTGAGAGGGCTTTAAGACAGTGGAATATGACACGTGCACCAAAACTAAAACCAACCAGCGAGACTGGACGATTACCCTATATACATGGTAATACTATAGATAAGTACATGGTAAAATAGATATATAACGACATCATTATACTATTATCAATGATAGGTCACCGCATTTACATGATGTTTTTCCATTAATACGTGAGCCATGTGTTTTCCTACTTCAGCTGATCTTGAAGCACACACGCCCCAAGGGTTATCAATGATGTAGGCAACTTTAAGAATGGCTAAGGGCCAGGCTACAGCACTGACCAGCCCTGACAAGAGTGTATGCTTGACAGCTTCCTCAGCTGCAAAACCAATTGCACTGGAAGCAAGAAAAGACGAAATGGCATTCCCCAACTCTGACAGATACCTGAAAAAATATTGACAAACTATTAAATGAAATAAAAAAACCTACAATACATTTACTTACTTAGACTCCCATTTCAAGCAGTACTGCTCCCTTCCTAACATCATTTTTTTCCAAGGTTCTTGAAACCCGCAGTATTTGATTGCTGAAATGATACACGACCTCAGTTACCAAGAGGTGAAGTATTGCTATTTCTTACTGCGAAACAGTCATACCATTTTCATCCTGATCTTCCAACCATCCTGACACAGCAATTACCACACTCAAATGTTCACCTTTTGTCATCTTTTCAAACTCAAACTGTTCAATGTCCCCAAGTCTGCGGTTCAGCTTCTGACCTATAAGATATAGAGATGCTTGTTACTTATTCTTCAAAAGTTGCCAGATAACTGCCAGGTAACTATACACAGATGTTTTCTTGATCACCTGTCAATCCTGCACCTGCAGCACCAAATATGGAAGTGATGATAGCAACCCCTTTAACAGATGCCAAAGCAACTCCAATACTGCCCCCAAATAAGGTGCCAGCACCAGCAGCCAAAAACGGTGCTGCAAGACCACCAGTAACACCTACAAATATGATATCTAATGTTATCACAAAAACAACTACTGTTAGTCWATGTTAATGCGATCTAAGTGTTTGCAATATGCAAGAATACTCTATACCTAGTAATACACCACCTCCAATAGCACCAAGACCAATCAATAAACCATGTTTAAACCTTCTTGATGATACTTCTTCTTTGCGCTGCTTTTCTTCCACACTGCAGTTAATGATGGATAACAACCTTTATCATTATTAACGACACTGGAAGATCGATTACAAAGATAATACTGCTGATAAATATTATAGGATAGATTTATGGCTGCCAAACTTTCATTCAGATCAACAAATGCTACTTTAGTTGTTATTCAGAAAAAGTCGCCATCCAGATGTACTATCTCTTATTTACTGAGAATTAATCATCATAATTTCTAATTCTTTCATTTCTTTTCTTTTTTTGACCCTTCAGGTGGTTTATTACAAATTTGTGCTATTTTGAATTATTGTATCTGTCCTAGCATGGCAGACAATCAATGAATGGATGCATGAATAAATGAAATATTGATTATAAAAGAATGGATCCATCCATGGTTGTTTAATATTGTTTGAGTGATTGAGTGACTCATCTTTACAATAAAAAATCATATAAACAAAACCAACCTTTTTTCTTTGTTTTGACATTCTTTTAGGTAAATAACCAGTTGATCTTCCACATCTGTTACGATATCTGGTGAGATAACCAGTTTCTCTGCTACATGGTAGATTAGAACTCGATGGCGAGCATCATATTTTTCTATAAAAAGAAAACAAAATGCTACCATCTTTGATTTTCGTAGAGGTCAATAAACTTAATTGAAAAAGATGATARTGACAATAGTTCTATAAATTAATTATATTGTGGGTTTACAAACATTTCCTYATTAGCAAGCTGCTAAAACTGTGACAATATAATTTTAAAATCATATTAGTAGTAACCGTGTTACTGCTTCACACCTAGCAGCGCATAAGGCATGCATTCATAAGGCATTTTCTAACTCTCTCTGTTCTCTACAGCAGGTCTGGCTTTTTCCAAAAATCGCTATCTTCTTTTCTTTCTTTTCAATGTTCATATGCCTGATCAACCCTTTATGCCCAGGCCTACATCCAGGGCTAAAATCCCATTGTTAATTATTGAGATAATAATAATTTAATGGCATCCTTATAAATACTTTTATTTACCTGTTTCCAAAGCAAATAAAATCAGACTCTAAAATGAAGGTTGAGAAAAACTATAAATTTCTGCACAAATCATGTTACAAAAAATCACAATTATTTAGCAATTGACTCACTTCAGGAATACAAATAAGGTTTTGATGACCACATTCCTTTTTTAGCTGGTTTACCAGAAGCATAGCATTGTTATTTGATGGTTCACCCTTGAGTACATCCCCCTCTAGGTTGCATAGGAATAATCCCTTAAGATCTGGAAAAAGAGTTTGATATTATCTATGATGAATGAATAATAAGTGCATKTAGATAATGCAGATATGGTAAGCCTAGAAAATGAATGTAGAATKGATATTGATACATTTTCATTCAAAACGTACTTACCTTGTTTAGGAAGATCTAGATACTTTTCCAAGTCACAGATATACTTCTCCACAAATGATCTGTTGGATGTAATCAGCTGACATTTAATAAATTATGCAAAACGAATGGAAAATTCAATTTTGAATAATTTCGGTTACACACAGAATCAACATAAGTTTTCATTTAGAGTAAATGAAGTTCTTGTACCTTCTAGGGGTACATCCAAGTTTCGAGAGCATATGGCTTTTTATGTACCATCAATAAATTATGAAATGAAATATATAAGCTTAAACATGATATAAGACTGTAGGATCTTGCAAACCTTTCGTGTTTTTCGCAATAAAGCGATGCGATTTCTGAATAGCAAAGTCGAACAAATGCCAGTTTTCCTTCCTTAGATAAAATTTCATTGATCTGTTTCTTGTTGAAGTTGCCCTTTTTCCCCGAGTCACCTTTCTCCGCCATTNTCCAATGCTCTGTGTTAGCCTCATTTGTGCGCAAATTATTCCTTATTGTGAGCGTAAAAGTGTGAGATTTCAAATCAGATTTATTGTCTTTCTTCACAAATTCCATGCGTTTTTTCGAGCTATCAATGAAACAAAAGAATATGTTACTTGGTTTTGAGGCTAACACAGAGCAAACCAGAACTCGAAATTGGAGTATTCTCTTTTCTTTCTTTCTTCCACTCAGTTCGACGGCACAGGGCGAATCGTAACCTTAACCTTAATACCAAATATACGTATCAATACGTAAGCACCAGCTAGGGCTCTCTCCATGTTGCAGCCATGTGCATGATCGCGTGATAAATCCGTAAGTGCGCAAACGTATTTCCTCTATTGTCAATCATGACGTCAGAATGCATCCGGGCATGCTGTCCGGAACGACCATCGCTCTTCTACAACACAGGAAAGGTCCTCATTATTTTATCTTTAGGTATCAACGTTACCTGAATAACTGTTCTTAATTTATCGATCTTTACTTAATTCTTTCTTATTTGTTTTTAGATTTGCTAAAGTTCTTAGGAAATATCACGTAACACCACAGGTTGTCCTTGAATGGCCGATAATTGGATAACAATATTTACATATTAATTGTATGATCTTGACTCATTAATCACAAACAGCGCTACGMSTTCTCACAACTTCTCAAACAACGGCAAAACTTCTTGATTTGCGTGCCCCAAAAAATGTTTTAAGATGAACAAGTTCAACAAGTCAAATTAATAAGGTACATCAATCATGATTTATTGTGTATAACATAGACTAACAGTTATTTGAGCGATRGACATTGAATGCGAGAAAAGGTTGTTTGAATTGTCGCCGTCGTCAGGCTCACTGACCAAATGCCGTCCGGCTGTAAAGTTMCAGAAAGTAGTGGACAAAATGGAGACTAATGGAGAAGACATATAAGAACATTCTGTAATGTCAAGTAAATGGTTCCAGTATGCCGCTAAACTATTATTAATACTGTATATTGATGATTAATGTACAAGATTCATACACGTATATTCATTGATAACGTTCCAGTGCATTCTCGATTTTTTTCTGCAAGAAAACGGTTTTCCTGTAATGCCACGTTAKAAGCTGACATCCACTCCTACTAGAAACAGTATTAGAACCAATCAGCTTGAGTAATGATTAAAATTCGAAATACTAATGTTGTTACAGATGACCAAATTCGGATATCGATTACACGTCGGTGCTGCAGGATCTCAGTTTCCTCACGCCATGTGTTGAACTCGTCAAGCGGAAGAGGACACCAATGCCAAAAAAATGAGACTTAGATCAAAATTAGCCCTCCATTTGAGTGGGGTAATCTAATCGAATAATTTCACATTCGGACTTCACATCACGTTATTACTTTATGACGTCATTGGCCTAAAAATAAAACCTTAATACGTTTGTTTTTAAAAGTTTTGTTTCGAACGACACGCTTTCCTTGGTGGGTGATCACTGGATGTCATGAGTACATGTTTTCGCGCAAAACAATGTAATTGCTCCGTTAGTAAGCAACAGAGTAAGAAATATAACGTTGTATATCGTCCGATTTCGTGTTTTTGTTGTGCCTCCTTTCCGTTCAATAGCGTTTTCGTGGTGTTTTGAATTGTKGTCAATTGCATGAGGTCGGCCAGGGAACAGGTCCTATCAGCTACACTTATGGACACTTCAGCAATATAAATAATGGATTTTAGTCATTTCTTTGCATTTGCATTAAATTTCCCAGTAAAATATATGGGGGTGAATATCAACGACCAATTCTTACTGTAAATAATATGTCAAAACATTTAATCATAACCATAAAATATTMAACGAGAAAGAAACTCCGGATCTTTTAATTTTAAAGTAATTGATTATGTCGAGTACAATCATTTTTCACTGATGTTAATTTCAATCACTATTAAAATTGTTTATGCATTTGGTCATCTTCTTTGTTTGGCGACAATATCTCGTTCGTCAATCGTATGATTAAATAGCTTTTATAGTTAACACTTTTTTTGTCCTACAGACCGCAGGCAACAAAAAACTGATAAACCACGTACCGTGCTCTACCTGAGGAGACTGGACTAAAATTAACAGTAAAGTARTCAAAACCTTCACGTAAACAAGAATCTATATCATCCAACCGGTAGATGGCGAACAAATCAAACACAACGCTTTACGAGGTGACTGTCTGGGCGATCCAGGGTCCTGAGTTCATTGCCTCAGTTGTTGTCCTGGGTAAGATAGTGTTTTTTGACAGACTTGTTTATTACTATTGCGGTGTTGCATAAATATATACAATCTTTGAAAACGATCATGTAGATCACGTTTCGCATAATATCCCATTTGCTTAATATCCCAGTGCCTTCAACTTGCCAGGCATAGTATTTTTGTCTAGCGTTCAGCTTTCAAAGCTGGATGAATATCAGTGAATTGTATGCGATAAGACACTTATTATGAGCGCCCTTTGTTTCTATTTAAGCCAAGGTTCTCAGTCCACAAAAACAGGTTTAAATGTGAATTTATCGGCACTGAGTGAAATACGGAAGAACACTGAACCGTCATGCAACTTCATGTGCAGTACACGTTAACAGTGCAACCAGTTTTCTTAAACTTCAAACATTCAGTTCGTGATATTTTAAAAATGGTTTATTTCCTTCCTTTCTTTTCTTTCATTTCAATTTTATTCTACTTTCTTTTGTTCTAGCACATGCTTCAGAATTATCCGGGTTTTAAAAAAGCTACATAGCCTGCTAAATACTAAGTATTATGAAGAGATCCAACATATGGTACGCTTCCCATGAAAATGAACTTTCCGCCCTGCGTTCATTTTTTTTTTTAGTTTTCAAGATTTCATGATGTCTTTATCATTTTAGAGCTAATCAAGATGGGTAGAAAACTGTTGATCGATGACAAATCTCTTTATTAAAATAGCTTGAAATCATTACTATGGCCCGTTTTAAACGCCAAATCTCACGTGTGCTGAACTCAACTGTSCTCTGATTACTCCAGTCTTTAGTTTCTTATTAAATCATCTCAAATTTGGTTTTATTTCTGTACCTGTCATGTATAAAGGACCCAAGCATACTACTAATAACCACTCGACAAGGCTTTTAATTAATACTAGACTGACTTTTTACTTGAACTGACTGACTATAATGTTCAAACACTATAGAAAACGCGCCGCTTTTTCAGATCGCCCAGAAAAGAAGTCTGGTTAGTAGAAAAACAAATTCTTCTTCCTAAGGAAATGTTTCTTTCTCTTTGTTGGGACTAGCACTTAATGTCTGGTTGCTACATTGTAAAAAATTATGTTATAGTAAAACCTAGTTTTATTGGGCTAAGAATAGATTAACCGCACTTAGCTCACAATCATCAAGAAGACTAGAACTGCATTTATGAATTAATGTGTAGTATATCTGCAGCAATTAAAGTGTTTAATTTGGACTAACTGTTTGCGGTAAAAGTGACAGGTTGAATAGATAATGTGTTCCATTAAGAACATTTATTTGTCTTACATACAGCTATTAGATAACGCAAGTTTTCTTTTCTAATGAGCGGACTTATGATAAAGACAACAAACTTAGAAAAACAGATTATACAGAGCAAAAACTAAAATTGAATATCCTGAATAAGCCCAGTTTGATAAATTGGTTAATGACACTCCCAACATCAATATATATAATCCGTAATGATAGCGCAGTGTGACAAGGGGACTAATGTAATGATATATCAGGGATAGAATTTCTCTCTTTCTATAGGCCCGTTTACACTTGCAATTTTTGCTTGCGATTTTTGCAGCGCGATTGTCGCCTTAGTTTCGAACATGCTTAAATTTAGCTGCAATTCGCGGCGATTTTTGATCGCCGCGACAATCGCGGGGCTGTTTACACGTACGATTTGAGGTACGAGAGAACAAAGTGGCGATTGTCGCGCTGCAAAAATTGCAAGTGTAAACGGGCCTTATCATTGCTGCCCTACTTCAAGTTTTATTAAATTATGTTCTCTTTCAGGACTTGTTTCTCTCGTTGGTCTCCTTGGTAACGCCTTGGTTGTTTCTATTATTACAACAACAAGAAAACGAGGACAGAAGACCGCTGTACAGATTTTCATACTTCATCTCGCCGTCTCGGACCTGATGGTCTGCCTGCTTTGTATTCCTCTCACTCTATTGGTCAATTTTAACTTCCCTAGTCACGTGACTAACACGGAACATAACTTGTGTAAAGTGACGAGGTTTACTCAGGTGAGAGAACATACGTCATCAGCAACCAATGATTTGAACTTGCCTAACGTGCCATGTACATGTTTTTATTTTTCAGTTCTTGGCACCATCCAGTTCCATCGCCATCTTGACAGTCATCAGCATTGATCGTTTTTATTCTCTTGTCAAACCTTTCAAAAGAAATTCTGCATTCACCAAGCCTTGTGTTCTYCTTTTGACTGCTTGGTGTTACGCTGCTGCAATCTTTGTTCCAACGTTTTACTTCGCTAAAATGGAAGGCCTTGACACAACGAACGGAAAGATGTATTACTGTATAACTATCCCTAATAACAGCCTTGCTGGGTTCATATACCTTTTATTTCTGTTCATAGCTTCATTCTTGGTACCGCTGATCACAATGATTGTACTTTATAGTCGAGTTGGAAAAGCCGTTTGGAGTCGAGTACGAAAAATATCACGATCTCGTGACACTTACATTTCAAACTCAAGTCTATCAGTGTTAGAAAGGTCAAGAAAGCGTGTGACTCGAATGCTGCTAATAGTAGTAGTTGTGTTTCTTATCTGTTGGTCTCCCTTTGTTATTTACACCGGTTTCATTGAACGATGGGTCGCGCCTTTTCCGAACCCCGCAGATTCTGTTCGACTGATTACATACTGCATAGGGCTTTTTAACTCTATTTGTAACCCATTCATTTATTACTTCAACAGTGAGTCCAGTCGGAAAGACTCGTTGAAGGTTGTGTGCTTCGAAACTGCGATTCGACGGGCGACGATGAAAAGCTACGATAATACCGCTGTACACTACAGACCGTCAAGTGGAACTGCGTTTACGGTTTTTCGCGATGGAAGAGAATGCTATGACACGCAGTTTTGATATTAAGCCAGAGTACCAATAGTAACCAGCTGTTTTGTAAGAAACCCTTTAGTGCCGTATACGGTACGAAGCACTATCATACCAACATCATAAGACTAGGATCCTAAATGTGGATATGTGCTTGTTGTTGAAAATGATAGGTTTGCATTTCAAGGATTCCATGTTAGGGGTTAGTTAGTTAGAGCTATAGTTAAATCGAGGCCGTAGAGAAGGACAAGAGTTTTGTGACTGACGCGCGGCTTCAAGAAAACCATGAATCTTGTCAAAACAATCATAGCGTAAAATCTGTGGGTTTGACAAACCAGAAGGCATCCGKGGGGAAATTGTCTAAATTTGATTAATGATTGGTTGTCTTTTTACATAAAAGACTTCATCGTAATAAAGCATTGAAGTAAGTTAGTTTGGCGTAGTGTAATGACCACTATATTCTGCTGTTTTTGCTTATTACAGTGTAATCAATATGTCAATTAAAATGACTTTAATTTGATTAGATCATAGTTAACTATGATTAGATACATAAATTGTACCAATGCAAATTACTTGGTGGTTAGTATTGCAGTTGATGATTTTCATCCAATAAATATTCTGGTTTCTTACGCTTTTCAATCAAGGCATCAAAGAACCTTTTGTTTTTCTCTTAAAAATCAACAAATTGAACTGAACCAATCACAAAGCCGCTTTAAAAAGGATCTTTTTCAAACAACCAAATGATTCCGCCAAAGTCTTTCAGATGCAAAAGGCTTATTGTAGTGACGGTGCGCTGTGGGTTTCACATCTCGGACCGCTTTCACTGAAGACAATGATGACTTGAACAATTTATATATGAAGTCTTCCTGTTTACAGACTGAATGCATCAGCAACACAAAATACATGACATAAAATACGAATTAGCAGGTCATCTTTAATAACTATCATTAATAATTCTAAGCTACTTAATACAGAAACTTCGCTGGTCGAGAGGTAACTACATTATGTGGACGTCATCACAGGAAAACTTTAAATCACACGATAATGAAAGCTGAAGCGTTTTTTTCTTGGAGCACCGGAACTGGGAATAATTTGCATAGTTTTCACTCTTTCGTCACATTTTTGATGTAATTGAGCGTCGTATTCATGGCTGTATGGAATGTCGATAGTGTTGGCTTCTTGGTAGTCGTTGTGATTCTGGGTAAGATTATGTTGACAAGCTAGTACTACTGAACCAATCTGAGCCCGCCTTTGCTAAGCTGCAATTTGAAGATAGTTGAAACAACCTCTTCATAGCCGTTTTGCTTTTAGATTAGTAACTACATTCAAAATCCCTGTCCTAGAGCTTCCTAGAGTGTTGCATGAACGCGTTAAATGAAATAATTGTGTTTTTAATAAATATAATTAACGAATTACCCCGGGGGGGGGACTCCCTAATATCCAAGGGCGGGGGTCCTCGGCGTCCCTTTTAGGGTTTGAAATCAGTATTTTGGTCCCGCTTAGGGTGATCATGACAAGAATTCCTATCAACTGAGTTTTGTGGTCCCTTTTAGGGTATACGGCGACCCTAAGCAGTCATAAAATGGCAACGTCGTCATAAACTCAATACGAGCCGACGGTGTTCGATGATTGTGTAAAAACACAAATAAAATCGGTAAACCAAAACAAAATGACCTGTTATTGATTGGTCCCTTTTAGGGTTGAAATTTCAGCACTGCCACGCCCATCATCTCACAATAGAGGTCCCTTTTAGGGGTCATTTTCACAATCTCCGCCGAGGACCCCCGCCCTTTGATATTAGGGAGTCCCCCCCCCTGGGCGAATTACAAACAACAACCTTCTGATCACTGGATATTTTAATTACCTAATATCATTTTCATTATTAATTCTTTTGACGTGTTTTCAGGCTTTGTGTCCATTATAGGCGTTATGGGCAATGGCCTGGTGCTAGCCATTATTGCAATTGTCCGTAGAAGTGGTTTCAAGTCTACCGTCCAGCTCTTTATCGTTCATCTTGCCATTTCAGATTTATTTGTGTGCATTCTTTGTATACCAATGACCATATTTAGCAATTTCCATTATCCAATCAACGATGGTATTGGAGGTATTGTGCTATGCAAGATTGTTCGCTTTGTCCAGGTAAGCAGTATATTCATTTCATACCTGGCCCTTTATCATGATTCTTTAAATTCATATATTTTATCTTACATKCCATTGAAATTGTTGTTTTATATTTTAGTTCGTTGCTCCAACTATCTCTATCTCGATCCTGACTGTCATTAGTATCGATCGTTGGCTCTCAATAGCAAGACCTATCCTTTCAAAGGCGCCGAGAATGTGCATGTTCCGCCCATTTTGGCTTATCACTTTTGCATGGCTTTTCTCTACCCTCCAGTTTCTACCAACATTCTACTTCTCTACTCTTGTACCAATAAACATATCCAACACCACAGTGTTCTACTGTACACCAATACCAAACAAAAGTTTGCCTGGAAAACTTTTCTTGATGATTATTTTCCTGGCATCATTTGTCTTTCCTGTAAGTGCTATGGGCGTGTTGTACACGTGTGTTGCCAGAGCAGTCTGGAATCGTGGGGACGATCTTTCAATGAAAACACAGCATGACAACACCTCTAAGTATATGCAAGACTCCAAGAAGAAAGTAACGCGTACGCTGTTGATCGTTGTGGCAGTGTTCTTAATATGCTGGACGCCATTTGTTGTTTACACAGGTTTCCTTGAGGATCGTTTGAAAGGTTTTCCTAATCCTATGGATGCAGTGAGGCTGGGGCTGTACGGTCTTGGCCTTTTTAATTCCGTCTGTAATCCGTTTATTTACTATTTTAACGGTGTTAACCTTAACCCCAGAGTTCTCATTGAAAATGAACGAAAACGTCGCAGCTCAAGTGTTTCGCCAACGTTGTATATCAGCAGGATGAACAGCATCAAATCAGCAAGGCGTTCCACGTCTTATTCATCCGCTAAAGATGAGCCCTTGGGATCTAAGCGCAATGCCTTTAACAGCACCTGTCCTTCCATGTCCCCAGACGATGACGTAGTGTTTATATTTACACCTGATGACGAAAGAACGACTTACAAAGTCACCCATGTTTAACACGATACAAAGAAATGCGGGATCACAAAAACTACTCAAAAACATAAGGCTGACAAAAGTAGTTTTACGAACGATAGTAAGAGAGCCTGAAAAACATAAGGCTGTCAAAAGT